TTTTCACTTTTCACTAGCAGAGATTTCTTCATCCACATCACACCAAGGGTAGTTGATCCAGGGAATCCACTGAAGCAAATTGGAGAATGGTTTATTGGGGTTTTTTGCCTTCCTCTGGATCACCTGTGGGTAAAAGATACGCAAGTTGCGCTCTTTAAAAGCCCGAAGTTGGTCATTGAATTTTTGCCCCGTACGTGGCTAGGCTGCCAAAAAGTCTCATACATGTGGTATCCGCAAACTCAAGACAAATAGCAGAATGTGTTTTGGGGTGTAATTCCACATATACCAATTTCCATATTATCAAGGACATGTTTTCTTGCATGATATGAAAACGAACAATTTTCACATAATCACTACAGTATTTGTCTGAAAAAATTTGTAAGACCAAGACCACTCATGCACAACAGAATACATTACAATACAAAATCACTTCCGAAGTTGTATTCTGTCGTATGAGAATGTTTTTAATTTTAGTAACGTCTTCATTTTTGATATGAGACCATATCATGACCGTAACATGATTTCATTTATTGTTAGCTGTAAACAAGCACACATAGGGAAAAATAAAACCGCTCAAATTTAAGAGAGCTAACACTTAGACTGGGAGGGAATATTTGCATCAATGAAACACACCACAGAAATGGGAGTTCATCAAAAAGACTGTATGTGAACACTCTGCAAAATATATTCCCATGGGCAACAAGTTTAAAAGGCTAAAAATCAAACCTACTGTATGTGGCTTACGGCCAAACTTGAAAAAGCTATAAATAATAAGAAAAGATCTTTTATTAAATATTAAAATGAAGGAAAGCTATTATCATTTAAGCATTACAAAGAATATAACAGAATATGTAAAAAGGAAATAAAAGCCGCAAAAATTGAAAACGATTGCAAAAAATAGCAGAACAAATCCGGTCCGAGCATGTAGGCTCTTTACAAAATAATGTAGAGTGGGTGACTGGGGACAAAGAGAAGGCAAATTTATTAAATACCTTCTTCAGCTCTGTGTATACAAAGGAGCATGGGGGAGTTCACAATGGGCATGGTATTGACATAGTCCCAGATGATCCACATTGGCTCAAAAGTGATATGATCCAGAAATATTTAGATAGAACAAAGGTGAATAAAGCACCTGGACAGGATGGGATACACCCACAGGTCCTATTGAGCTCTGTCATTTTCAAAGCCATTATTTCTAATTTTTAAGGACTCTTTAATGACTGGCATAGTACCACTGGATTGACGTAAGGCCAATGTGGTGCCTATATTTAAAAAGGGATCATAGACCTATTAGTTTAATTTCTATAGTTGGAAAGATACTGGAGAGTTTAATAAAAGACCACACAGATGAGTTCTTGCTTGAAAATAATATTTTAAGCAACAGACAGCATGGATTCATGAAAGACAGAAGTTGTCAAACAAATCTGATTTCTTTTTATGAGGAGGTGAGCAAAACCTTGGACAGAGCAGTGGCTGTGGATGGGTATACTTGGATTTTGCAAAAGCGTTTGACACAGTTCCCCACACATGGCTAATGTGTAAGGTAAAGTCTACAGGAATGAAAAATCGGTATGTAAATGGTTAGAAAACTGGATAAAAGATCGTATTGAGAGAGTAGTGGTTAAGGATTCATACTCTGAATGGTCTAGGTTTGTCAGTGGTGTACCACAAGGTTCAGTGTTTGGACCCTTACTTTTTAATATATTTATACAGATATAGGGTCTGAGATTAAAAATCCCATTTCAGTCTTTGCAGATGATACCAACCTTTGCAATGGAATAACGTCCTTGCAGGATGTCTCCAACTTACAAGCCGACATCAATGCACTGTTTAATTGGTCAACTACGTGGCAAATACGGTTCAATGTTGAAAAATGTAAGGTATGCACTTGGGGGACATGCATCATGCATACTATGGGGAGTACAACTGGGGGAATCAGTGGTGGAGAAGAATCTGGGAGTTTCTAAGCTGCGGTTTCCAAGGCGAGCAAAATCCTCTCTGTATTAAAAGAGGTATAGATAGACTCCAGAGAGAAAGATATCATTCTACCCCTGTAAATATCATTAGTAAGACATCATCTAGAATATGCTGTTCAGTTTTGGGCACCAATTCATAAAAAGAACATTAGGGAACTGGAGAAAGTGCAGAGAAGGGCAACCAAACTGATAAGAGGCACAGAGGTGCTCAGCTATGAGGAAAGATTAGAGGAACTGAATTTATTCACTCTTGAGAAGAGGAGAGTAAAGGGGGATATGATCAACATGTATAAATATATCAGTGGTTCATATAGTGAACTCGGTCTAGTTATTCACCCTTAGGTCATCACAGAGGACAAGGGGGCACTCTTTACGTCTGGAGGAAAAGAGATTTAATCTCCAAATATGGAAAGGTTTCTTCAAAATAAGAGCTGTGAAAATGTGGAATAAACTCCCTCAAGAGTTGGTTTTAGCCAGCCCAGTGGATTGCTTTAAAAAAGGTCTGGATTCTTTCCTAGGTACACATAATATAACTGGATACTAACATTTATAGGTAAAATTGATCCAGGGAATATTCGAATTGCCTCTCGGGGGATCAAGAAGGAATTTGTTCCCCTGCAGGAGCAAATTGGGTCATGCTTTCCTTGTATTTTTTGCCTTCCTCTGGATCAATGGTGGGTATAGGATTATACCTTTATTTGGGGGGGGGGGGGGTTGAACTGCATGGACTTTTGTCTTTTTTCAGCCAGACTAATTATGTAACTGTGTTATGCAAATAGTGAAAGGAGAATCTCATTATTTTGTGAATACAGAGCTTGACTCATATAATTAAAGGATCCCAAAAGGTCAAAGAGTATTTGGGTTAGATAATAAAAAAGGGCAGACCAAGCCTGGATATGTGCAGGTTGCAGAGGCCCTGGTATAGCTCAGCAAGACTGGCAGAAGTGGCATGGACTGGTGCATTAACAAATCCAGCCTGTGATCAATTCATGACAGTTGCCTCAAAGATGCTAATCTAGGTGTGCTGATTTTAGGGTGATAAGTGAATAGCTTAGTATACCTTGATTTGGCTATGCCTTCATGGAATTGGGAATCATTAGTAATTTTGGGGTGCAAGAAAGAGACATTTTCATTTTTAAATTTAAAAAATTAAAAAATTGTGTTTTTTTCTTTCAAGTTTTCATCAGACTGCCCAAACACACATACATGCATGTGTGGGTGTGTCCTCAGTTCAGTTATCTGTGTATTGTTGCAGTGCAATAATGAGCTCATGCAATAAGTTCTCTAGGTTTGTGAACTATTAAAAAAGAAGTTTGGGGTACAGAAACACATGACTGCAGATCACTTAGTTCTCAGTCTTCTGGTGTGAACAGTGAATGTTAACTTTTGCTCTCCGCCATGCCCCTCCAGTGCTCATTGGAGCGCTGGGCAGGAGAGGGAGTGGGTGCAGATGGCTTTGGCACTCAACCACGCACCAGCTATCAATCAGGCAGCTGGGTGGATCACGACAATTTGGTTGGATCCTTCCAGAGCCTGCAGCAGCTCTGTGGCATTAGCCGATAGCAGGCAATACCCTTCTTCAAGCTAACTCTGGGTCACAGGAGAGCAAAAGTAAGTGCACTCCTGTGAGCCACAAGAGAAGTATGGCCAAAAAAAGCTTTGATTAGTATGACAAAACTGCCTAATACTAGCTAAAGCTTTGTCAAAATTGCCATCTTTGTCAGCTGTATATGGTATTATATAAAATATATTACAATATAATGGATAGGATACACAAATGAACCACTCATCTTTCTAACCAGATTTTACAGACCCTATTACTACAAAAGCCCCATGCACAAAAAGACATCACAAATCAATCTCAGTGAGTGACAGCAAGGGTGCACATCAAAAGCAATCAGCAGCGGGTTTTTCAATAGGGTGCCCTTTGTGACTCACAAGAATGCTCCATGGACACTGATCAAAAAATTACTTAATGTATGTGTTTTCGGTGTCTCTCCAAGAACCGGGGAGTTCTACTCTAAAATGCCAGTAGATAAATAGGGAGAAGCCCTTATTTCTTTTGCTGTGGTTTTACTCATATTTTATGTCCCCACTACTGTCTAAAGCTGTATCCAAGTTTTTCACATGTACTAATAAAACACACAATATACATCCCAACCCAAAGTATCTGCCAAACCATACATTTTTAACAAATATTTATAACTTATTATTTTTAATAATATCCCATAAAGTCTATTTGCACACACAAATGCAATATGAAGAAGACATTTGAAATGGTGGTGCCATACAGTATACACTGATGATTTAGAGGCTATGTACTTTATGAATTAATTTTTAAGTATAATTAAGCCCAGTACCTAAAATTTCACAATCTTTCAAATGGCAACGTCATTTTAAAAGTTATTTTTAATGTTTTAAAATTTGCAGCTATAATTAAAATAAAACCTAGTGATCCAGTCATGAAGGTCCTTATTCAGGTACTTCTTGTTATGGGGGTGGCGATTCTCCCACATTTGCTGCTGTGTTGTCTTCCTGCTATATGCATCTCTGGTGGTGACTACAAGTGGCCATGTGCATCAAAGGGTCCACCGTTTTTATTACTGTATCAGGAAGTCAGTCATGGAATGGACTAGAATTCCTCTCCAATTATTTTTTTTTTTCAGGGTATGAAAGGTTAGAACCCTTTTATGTTTTTGTTGTCTGTGTCACCAAACCAAAACACATTTGCCTTAACGATAGTTATTTTTGGCCATGCTTTATTATTTTCAGCTCTTGTTGTTGGAAATAACAGTTGTTAGTCAAGGCTTTCCCTTAAAAAAAAAAAGTTTTTAAAAAGGCAAAAAAATATCATTATAGCTTAGTTAATTGTACCTATTGTGTGTAGTAATCCTTGCATTTTTTTTTCAACTAATTTGTATAATTTGGAAATTACTCATTTTTCTATAAATCGACTCAATTTGTGACTTGTTATGGAAAGGGAACTTACAAAGACATACATCGGAAGCAAAAAAGTATACATACTTGTCAAACAAATGCCTCCCGACCTCAGCATCAACAGCACTCAGGGGATCATCCAAAAGATAAATGTCAGCATCTTGATAAACTGCCCTGTAGAGCAAGAATAAGCAAATTATCAACCTTCATGCAACATTCTTTATGTGAGTATTTGGATAGCAAAATTTGTAAAGCTGCATTCAGCAAAAAAATATATATATTTTAAAAGTTATCTTATGTTGCCTACACAAAATTTTCACTTCCCAGCCTAAAGGCCATCACCCCGTTATACTCCATCACATTTTACTCCATTATACTCCATCACAAAATAGAATACATTTACAAAATAGAATACATTTACAAAATAGAATACATTTAGAATCTTGTGAGCTTACGCAAAATAGCAATATAACCAGTGGTACATATAGCGTTTGTGACAACTGCTCAAATCATGTGGGGAATAAAGGAAATGGTCCAAGTTGTGCACACATACAGCTCAGAAATGCTGTTGGCAACTCATACACATGCAAATTATTACCATGAAACTTCTAAAACAAGTATTCTATTCAATACATCTTTGCATGCATAGGCCCTCTTAGACATCCTTTAGATACCCAAATAGAGTTCTATCAGTCAGATCATTTGATTGATTGATCGACTATAATTGGAATGAGTATAAGGTAAAGAATTATATTCTGGCTTATCAAACTTGCCTTGTACATACAGATGAAACTCGAAAAAATTAGAATATCGTGAAAAAGTTCATTTATTTCAGTAATGCAACTTAAAAGATGAAACTAACATATGAGATAGACTCATTACATGCAAAAGCAAGATAGTTCAAGCTGTGATTTGTCATAATTGTGATGATTATGGCTTACAGCTCATGAAAACCCCAAATACACAATCTCAGAAAATTAGAATATTACATGCAATCAATAAAACAAGGATTGTACATAGAACAGTATCGGACCTCTGAAAAGTATAAGCATGCATATGTACTCAGTACTTGGTTTGGGCCCCTTTTGCAGCAATGACTGCCTCAATGCAGCAAGACATGGAAGCGATCAGCCTGTGGCACTGCTGAGGTGTTATGGAAGACCAGGATGCTTCAATAACGGCCTTCAGCTCTTTTGCATTGTTCGGTCTCATGTCTCTCATCTTTCTCTTGGCAATGCCCCATAGATTCTCTATGGGGTTCAGGTCAGGCGAGTTTGCTGGCCAATCAAGCACAGTAATCCCACGCTCATTGAACCAGGTTTTGGTGCTTTTGGCAGTGTGGGCAGGTTCCAAGTTCTGCTGGAAAGTCAGCAACCCCATAAAGCTTGTCTGTGGAAGGAAGCATGAAGTGCTCCAGAATTTCCTGGTAGACGGCTGCATTGACCCTGGACTTAATGAAGCACAGTGGACCAACACCAGCAGATGACATGGCTCCCCAAATCAACACAGACTGTGGAAACTTCACACTGGACTTCAAGCATCTTGCAGTGTGTGCCTCTCCATTCTTCCTCCATACTCTGGGTCCTAGGTTTCCAAATGAGATGCAAAAGTTGCTCTCATCAGAAAAGACGACTTTGGACCACTGAGCAACAGACTAGGTCTGTTTTTCTTTAGCCCAGGTAAGACGCTTCTGACGTTGTTTGTTGTTCAGGAGCGGCTTGACAACAGGAATACGACATTTGAAGCCCATGTCCAGGATCTGTCTGTGTGTGGTGGCTCTTGATGTACTGACTCCAGCCTCAGTCCACTCCTTGTGAAACACTTTTGAATGGCCTTTTCCTGACAATCTTCTCCAGGCTGCGGTCATCCCTGCTGTTTGTGCACCTTTTTCTTCCACACTTTTCCCTTCCACATAACTTTCTATTAATGTGTTTTGATACAGCACTTTGGGAACATCCAACTTCTTTTGCAATTACCTTTTGAACTTATGGGAGGGTCAATGATGGTTTTCTGCACAAACTGTCAGGTCAGCAGTCTTCCCATGATTGTGATTGCAACTAAACCAGACTGAGGGACCATTTAAAGGCTCAGGAACCCTTTGCAGGTGTTATGGCTTAATTAGCTGATTAGAGTGGGACACTTTGAGCCTAGAATATTGCACCTTTTCACAATATTCTAATTTTCTGAGATTGTGGATTTGGGGTTTTCATGAGCTGTAATGTAAGCCATAATCATCACAATTATGACAAATCACAGCTTGAACTATCTTGCTTTGTATGTAATGAGTCTATCTCATATATTAGTTTCACCATTTAAGTTGCATTACTGAAATAAATGATTTTGCACATTATTCTAATTTTTCGAGTTTCACCTGTATATAGTGGGACAGAAAATGTAGTGACTGTGTATGATCATTTATGTAGCTTGGGTTCAGTTTGTCTAAGATCGCCCTATCTTTGCATGGCTCAAAGCAGTATGGGTAGCTTTAAGCTCACTACACACTTTAAACTCTGGAGGTACAATCTCCTTTAGATCTAACAAAACAATAGTGTAGTACAAGGGCATGTCTGACTGGATATAAGATAACTGAATAGTTTAGGTAGGTTTCTATATTACATAGGTTTGGCAAATATAAAGTTTATTTTGTACAAACGTACATTCAGATTGTAATGTCTATGGTGAGTCTTACACATGAGGAACTGTGAATTTAGTTCAGCCAAAGTGGTAAACAGTGCGCAATGAGCAATAGATGAATTAATTTTACACTGTTTTTTCAACCATATAGCTGCACAATCGTTTTGTTAGTGTGCTAGCTTTAGTTAGAATTAGGTTTAGTTAGGTATTCTATAATTTTTCCCAAATATAGTGGTAATTTATCAATTTATTATCAAATATCCCATAGCTAACAGAACCCGTGTAACATTCTGAACTACAGTCAAGTACCACAAGCATGTACATGTTACATCGTTGCCTATTATATTGAGCCTAGCTTATACTACATTATTACATATTACTCAATACTAAATGATCTACCTGGCTAGATTCACACGTGCTTTCTGTCCTCCACTTAGTGTAACACCTCGATCCCCGATCATAGTCAGGTCACCGTCATCTAACTGCAGCATGTCCTGTGAGGGTTACAGCAACATAATAGCAACAATATTGTAACTCATTTGTAAAATGATACTAAAAGTTCAGATTTTTTTTTTTTTTAAATAAAAAACATTTTATACTTACCTGCTCTGTGCAATGGTTTTGTACAGAACAGCCCTGATCCTCCTCTTCTCAGGTCCCCTGTTGGTGCTCCTGACTCCTCCCACCTGCTAAGTGCCCCCAGAGCAAGCAGGTTGCAAGCATGTGTGCGTGCTCACTCCCGAGCTGCCTCTGTCTGTCCATAAGACACACAAAACACAGCTCTGCCCCATCCACTGCTCCTTCCTCACTGGCTGTGATTGACAGCAGCAGGAGACAATGTGTGAGAGACCTAGGAGAGCAGCTGCTCTCGTGCACATCGATGGATCAAGATCAAGCTCAAGTAAGTATTAGAAGGGGCTGAGGGGGGAGCTGCACACTGAAGGCTTTTTTACCTTCATGAATAGAATGCATGAAGGTCAAAAATTTTCAGCCTCCAGAACCACTTTAATACAAAAAAAAATCAATACACAAAAAGTAGAATGCACAGTAGGTTAAAAACATGCACACCCCTCTCTGTGAATAAGTTAGAGTAATAAAAAAGTAATTTTATATACTATCTGAAACTTTCTGTGGGAATTCATCCAAAAATGTCAAAATTTGTATTTTGCTTTCATAAAAACTTTTAGATATCTGCCTCAGTAAGCAGAATATACAGGGCTAAGGGAATTGTTAGAGAATAAAAATCACATGCACATTTAAACATAGGTTGAACGTGATGAATCTGTGCCTTTTTTCAACCTTATAAACTATAGTATGTAACTATACTTCTTAGAATATGTTTGTGCTTAAATTAATGGTTTCCCTCCCCAGCAGTGCAAACTTAATGTCCTTTCACTTCCCTGTCGCTCCATTAGATTACTAAGGTTAAAGAAAAATATCTGTTCCTTCTGGGTATGGGGAGCATGTAACTCACTCTCCTTCCTAACATGTGCCAGCAACGGTCCTTGTTGATGGCCACTCAGGCACCCAACGCTGTCAATTGGGAAAGGAAGGAGAGTCCTGAGCCTAAGGTCTTCTGATCACAACTTGGAGTTACACAGGGCTCCATCTATTGCCTCCCAAAGGCTGAATGGAGTAATGGGAAGAAAAAGAAGGAAAATAAGTGCAGCCTGGAACAGTGGCAGTTAAAGTGGAACTTTAGCCAGAAAGTTAAGTCATCATAGATGACTTCATGCTGGTCCCTTTTGCAGGTATAGCTATGTAAAACATTAAAAATAAGTGTCTATGCTGTTTAAACCAGTAAATAGTTGCTATGTAATCTTGGCACTGTGCTTCAAATCAGTGAGTCACTAGATGCTGATCTGCTTGACAGCTTTAAGATTTACTAAGCAGGGAGGAAACAACAGGAATAAAGCTGACCATAGACGGTTCGAATCATGTATGGGCAGGCTGAATGTATCCAAGTTGATCAACTGATCAACTTGTGTACAACCAGCCTGTCAGGTTTTACATGCAATAACTGCTAGCAGCTATTATTTATTTATTTATTTCAGGTACTTACAGTCAGGTCCATAAATATTGGGACATCGATACAATTCTAACATTTTTGGCTCTATACACCACCACAATGGATTTGTGAAATTAAATGACAAGATGTGCTTTAACTGCAGACTGCCAGCTTGAGGGTATTTACATCCAAATCAGGTGAACGGTGTAGGAATTACAACAGTTTGCATATGTGCCTCCCACTTCTTAAGGGACCAAATGTAATGGAACAGAATAATAATCATAAATCAAACTTTCACTTTTTAATACTTGGTTGAAAATCCTTTGCAGTCAATTACAGCCTGAAGTCTGGAATGCATAGACATCATCATGGTCCGGGTCTTTTGGTATTGCTGAGCTCACCGGTGCGTTCCTTCTTTTTAAGAACGTTCCAAACAGTTGTTTTGGCCACGCCTAATGTTTTTGCTATCTCTCTAATGGGTTTCATTTGTTTTTTCAGCCTAATGATGGCTTGCTTCACTGATAGTGACAGCTCTTTGGATCTCATCTTGAGAGTTGACAGCAACAGATTCCAAATGCAAATAGCACATTTGAAATGAACTCTGGACCTTTTATCTGCTCATTGTAATTGGGATAATGAGGGAAAAACACACACCTGGCCATGGAACAGCTGAGAAGCCAATTGTCCCATTACTTTTGGTCCCTTAATAAGTGGGAGGCACATATGCAAACTGTTGTAATTCCTACACCGTTCACCTGATTTGGATGTAAATACCCTCAAATTAAAACTGACAGTCTGCAGTTAAATCACATCTTGTTTGTTTCATTTCAAATCCATTGTGGTGGTGTATAGAGCCACAAATTTTAGAATTGTGTCGATGTCCCAATATTTATGGACCTGACTGTATATAGCGCCATCAATTTACGCATCGCTTTACACATATATACTGTACATTCACATCAGTCCCTAACCCTCAAGGGGCATACTATCTAAGGTCCCTAACTCACATCCATACATACACATACTAGGGCCAATTTAGACAGGATCCCATTAATCTACCAGCAGGTCTTTGGAGTGTGGGAGGAAACCGGAGTACCCGGAGGAAACCCATGCAGGCACAGAGAGAACATGCAAACTCCAGGCAGGTGGTGTCATGGCTGGGATTCGAACCAACAACCCTAGTACTGCCAGGTGGAAGTGCTAACCATTTAGCCACTTTACTGCCCTACTATTATAGCCACTAGCAGTAATCACTGAGGTTTCCCGGTGGGGACAGCCCTCCCCCCCCCCCCCCCCCCCCCCCCAACTCATTTTCCAGGAGAACACAACACTGACTATGTTCATGGGGGAATCGAGCTATAGTCTTTACTGTGACCCATGGTTGATGGAAAGAGAATTGCACTGTCTATGGCCGTTGTTACACAGACTGTGCTGATTGAGGACAGATTAAGGCGAGAGAAAAGGAAATCAGGAGAGGTGGCAGGACAAACTTTGCTGCCAGGGAGATACAAAAGACACAAAGTGCTTGATTTACTAAAACTGGAGAGTGCAAAATCTGGTGTCGTTGTACACAGTAGCCAATCATCTTCTAACATCAGCTTGTTCAATTAAGCTTTGATGAAAAAACCTGGAAGCTGATTGGTTTCTATGCAGAACTGCACCAGATTTTGCACTCTCCAGTTTTAGTAACTCAACCCCATACATACAAGGATAGTGTATTATCTTATCTCCGTGATATTCTCTAATTTCTCACTCTTCATCAGCATCAATAGCTATGGATAAGAGTACTGCCAGCTACCTTAGCCTTCTCCTTTAGCTGAGCCAAGACATACAATTAAAGCTGGAAGTGAAAACATTTTAATTACAGAAAGTGACATATAGTTTTTGAGACTATAGCTGGGTACAGACATACAGGTTTTTTTGTTCAACCAATAGGTTGAACAAAGAATAAACTGACAAATCCCTGCAACAACAGAATCAATATTGATGCAGGGATCTCTCCCGCTGAGATATTTTATTCTGACAAGGGGACTCCCCTCCCCCCAACCGGAATACATTGATAAGAGCTTGCAGCTATTGGCTGCGAGTGGTGATCCAGTGCTGGTTTTCTAGAATATCTGTTTGACAGAAAATGGTCTACAGAACCGCTTCTGAGACAGCTGTACACATGCATCGAAAGTAGACCGGTTCCTTCTCAATGAGGAAGTGATTGCTTTGGGCATCAACAAAATGGCAGTATCCAGCTAGAAGAAACAGGAACAATGCTGGAGGCAATTTACTGCACACACTAATTTTGGTAGCATAACTATTAATGTGGAACATACAGTCAGGTCCATAAATATTGGGACATCGACACTATTCTAACATTTTTGGCTCTATACACCACCACAATGGATTTGAAATGAAACGAACAAGATGTGCTTTAACTGAAGACTGTCAGCTTTAATTTGAGGGTATTTACATCCAAATCAGGTGAACGGTGTATGAATTACAACAGTTTGCATATGTGCCTCCTACTTGTTAAGGGACCAAGAGTAATAGGACAATTGGCTTTTCAGCTGTTCCATGGCCAGGTGTGTGTTATTCCCTCATTATCCCAATTACAATGAGCAGATAAAAGGTCCAGAGTTCATTTCAAGTGTGCTATTTGCATTTGGAATCTGTTGCTGTCAACTCTCAAGATGAGATCCAGAGAGCTGTCACTATCAGTGAAGCAAGCCATCATTAGGCTGAAAAAACAAAACAAACCCATCAGAGAGATAGCAAAAACATTAGGCGTGTCCAAAACAACTGTTTGAAACATTCTTAAAAAGAAGGAACGCACCAGTGAGCTCAGCAACACCAAAGACCCGGAAGACCACGGAAAACAACTGTGGTGGATGACCGAAGAATTCTTTCCCTGGTGAAGAAAACACCTTGCCACTGGTTTAGACATTAATGGCTGTGTGTTGAGTTATTTTGAGAGGACAGCAAATGTATACTGTTTTACAAGCTGTGCACTCACTACGTCACATTGTAGCAAAGTGTCATTTCTTCAGTGTTGTCACATGAAAAGATATAATACAATATTTTCAAAAATGTGAGGGGCGTACTCACTTCTGTGAAGTACTTTATTTATATGTGATTCGCGCTCCCGCGGTGATAGCGGGCTCCCCTGCTGACTCGCGGGTGCAGTAACTCGTTCCCCAAGGGATCAGTCATCAGATTTAGGCCAGTGATGTTCGGCCTAAATCGGATGATTGTCCCTGTCCTATCAGGGATCTTCCTGTACCTGTGTTTAACACAGGTACAGGAAGGTTAATGATGAAATCTTCTGTCTCTGGGCACATTCCATCCCAGAGAGAGAAAAAAAGAAGACACAGTGAGTAAAACAGCACACACACACACAGAACACTTTTAGGTCAAATTTAACCCCTTGATCACCCCCCCCCCCCAGGTAACCCCTTCACTGCCCTGTCACCAGTGTCATTAGTACAGTGTACAGAT